GCTTACCCACTGGGTAACGTTCATGAATACGGCCACAGATCACCGGTAAAGTTCGGAAATGATGGAAAAATTTGGAGTCAAATGCTCTGCCTAGACGTTCCTAATCTACAAATTGCCATACTTGTCGAGTTTAGTTCCAATAGATGCAGACAGGTCTGTTCTTTTGGTGAAAGAGAGCAGATACTTGCTCAGATTTCGCGGATTCAGTGTTTTCTTCAGTTCATCTACAAACATCTGCCTATCCTTTTTGTTGACCTAAACAAAGACCGGTTCAAATCACAACGAGATGCCAGCATTTGCAGGCAAGAGTTGATAGGTGAAGCGTAAGATTTTGATAGGGTATGTTCAAGATAACATGGAAAATAAGTGCAAAAGCACGATTTGCTCTGCTACGACATGCAGGTGGACTCTTGCTGAATCGAAACAGTTAGCACTACTGATTAATGAGATAGATGTAGTAGTAGACATGCAAGACAGAAAGAAAGAAGTGAGTGAAGAGGCAAGCATGCAGCCTATCGCACTTGCACCAGCACCGTCAAAAAATACGAAAAGCGAAACTTACGTCTGCAGCCTGGACGTGTGCGTTAAAAAAAGAAATTAGTAGGCAACATATTCAATCCTATCATACCTTTAACTCTACTGTTATTTATAAGACATACGAAAATATGAGCGAATGGCGCTTTTTCAACTGTAAGAGCAGACAAGTACGGAAGTGAAATTTTTTTTAGCAAAAAGAAAAAACTTACGGTTCCAAATTTATGTGTGACTAGATACTCCCAAGCTCCATCGGTCATGATGTCATTTTCCAAGCGCATGTTAATCACCTGCAAGATCACCCAGTATAAGTGCATAATAACAGTTGCCCATGCTAACACCGTGCTAGCGCTGTACCCACGCCGACCGATCGATACAGGGCTCCCTCATGTGGGCGCTGGCACGGTCCCAGCATGGAGCTGGTACAGGGCAGCTCTGGTCTCAGCCTTACAAGGGGAGTATACCAACATTATCTGGCAAACCGATAAGTGATATATACTATTAAAGGCGCCTTCGAACGCTAATTCCAAATCTGCTTTCCTCATCTGTGGAAAAACTATCCGAAAGAAGTTACGGTAACGGAAGGCAGATTTGCAGTCAGCGTCTGAAAATGCATCTACTGATATACATCCCTTTTTGGTTTGCTGGGATAATCTCGATATCCTTCCCTCTTTAAAGGACATTACAATCTAACGGATTCCGTGCCCGGGCAAACCATATATTACGCGTCTTTGTACGTGTCAGGTGTCAGTTGTCCTCGCAGGCGTACTTGTCCATGTATTTGTTTATCCTACAAACATTTTTCCGCTCACCTTGTCCTTACAGTATTCCACGATTCCGGCAGTGGTCGAGGTGCAGTGTACAAGGATCGTTCCAAGGATTCGGTTTGGATTTGCCATCTAAGATATGCGGATTATTAGTGAGATTAGGGGCTAAGATTCAAAAATCAAGAGGTTGAATTTGTAGCTTGAATTTCTATTTCTCCTAGGGTCAAAAGGCGGACGAGTGGCGTAGTGGTATGAGGGGCCGCGACCAGATCGGCCACAGGTTCTATCCCCGCCCGTGGGCCAACCAAGCCCTCCACCCTCCGGG